GTAGCCAGCTCCGCTACCAAGTCGAAAACAAGCTGGTAAGCTTAGGTATGTGTTACGCCTTAGGCGTTGCCATATCCCAGGCTTTGGCTCATATCGCATGAGCAAGAGAGCAAGACGAAGCATGGGATCTGGAGTAAAGGATAGAAGAGGCATCTTCAATGAAAAAGGTATTTTCCGATCTCAGATACCAGTCGTGCGCCTCGGTGAGGCACAGTCATATATTTGGCCGGGCCCGGCTAAACATACGGCGAGGTTGCATTACAATAGTCTCGTGTGGAGCCAGGCACCCACGCTAGCATCTGCTATGTACCGTTCGGCCCGCACCCATTCCGTTTAAAGTGACGGCCAAGTGCCGCCCAAGACCGACCAAGAGGCCCCAAGACGGGCCCAAGAGGGCTCAAGAGGGGAACCGAGAACTGAAAAATCGAGCCCTCCGCCCCAGAAGGCGCCCAGGAGGCCCCAAAAAGGCCCCAAGAGGCCCCCAAGAGGCCCCCAAGACGCCCCAAGAGGCGCCCAAGAGGCCCAAGATGCCCCCAAAGACCCCAAAACGGCCCCCAAGAGGCACCAAAACTCGGCTAGCCCACAACGGTGCGACAATATGGGCCGGCGAACAAGAATTCTTCATCATCACCGGTAATTTTATCATCAGCACCATTATCAGCATCAGCAGCATCACCGTCATCATCAGCATCATCACCATCATCGGTATCAGTAACAGCGTCATCATGAGCAGCATCACCATCATCACCATCACCACAATCACAATCATAATCATCAGCATCATCATCAGCAGCATCAGCATCAGCATCATCATCAGCGTCGTCATGTGAAACAGTGTGTTCTACCGCTGCTGGCGGAAAACGGAGGGGGTTCACTGGGGGTTCCCAAGTTGGGAACCCCCAGTTGGGCAAACTCCTCCCTCCCCCCCCTCGAAAACCGGGGGGGTCACTACCGGTTCGAACCCCTCCCCCCCCCAGTCCATCATGAAAGGGGGTGGGTCACTACCATCTCGAACCCCACCCCCCCCTTCGAAAACCGGGGAGGGCCACTACCGGCTCGACACCCCCAGGCCCCCCTCGAAAACCGGGGGCGGTCACTACCGGTTCGAACTCCCCCCCCCCCTCGCCGCTGGCAAACGATTCCCGCTCCTCGGGACAGTTGGACAATGGTGGGGATGCTGGGCAAGTGGTGGGAACGGTGGTGGTGGGGACAGTGGTGCAGGGACAGTGGGACTGTGGTGCGGACAGTGATGGGGACGGTAGAGGTGGGGACAGTGGTGAGGGGACAGCGGGACAGTGGTGGGGACAGTGGGACAGTGGTGGGGACGGTAGTGGTGGGGACAGTGGTGAAGGCGGTGGTGAGGACAGTGGTGGGACAGGACAGTAGTACAGTGGGGAAAGTGGTGGGGACAGTGGGGACAGTAGGAAAGTGATGGGGACAATGGGGACGGTGGAACAGCACAGTGAAACAGCGGCGGGGACAGTGGGACAGTGGTGGGTACAGTGGGGACAGTGGGACAGTGGTGGGGAAAGTGGGGAGAGTGGGACCGTAGCGGGACGATGGTGGGGAGAGTGGGGACAGTGAGACACTGGAGGGGCACTGGTGGGGACAGCGGGGACAATGGTGGGCACAGTGGGACAGTGGGACAGTGGTGGGGACGGTGGTGGTGGGGACAGTGGTGTGGGGACAGTGGGAACGTGGTGGAAACAGTGGGACAGTGGAGGGTACATTGGTGGTGGGGACAGTGGTGAAGGCGGTGGCGATGACGGCGGTGGGACAATGGGACAGAGGTACAGTGGGGACAGTGGTGGGGACAGTGGGGACTGTGGTGGGAACAGTGGGACAGCTCAGTGGGACAGCGGCGGGGACAGTGGGACAGTGTGACAATGGGGACAGTGGGACAGTGGTTGGGGTCGTGGAGAAAGTGGGGAGTGTGGAACCGTGGTGGGAACAGTGTTGGGGACAGTGGGGGCAGTGCGACAGTGGTGGAAGCATAGTGACCCCCCCCCGGTTTTCGAGGGGGGGGGGGGGTTCGAACCGGTAGTGACCCCCCCCCCGGTTTTCTGGAGGGGGCGGGGTCGAATCGGTATCAACCCCCCTCTAATTTTCTGGGGGGGGAGGGGGGTTCGAACCGGTAGTGACCCCCCCTGGTTTTCTGGAAAGGGGGTGGTTCGAACCTGTAGTGACCCCCCCGGTTTTCCGGAAGGGGAGGGGGGGTTGCTTGGGTGGACCAGTGGACTTGTAAGTACGTTGCTTACTTAGCTTCTACTTAGTAAGTACTTAGCTCACTTAGCAAGTACTTAGCCGAACCACATGCTAAAAACTTAGCAAGTCACTTGGCTATGCAATCCGTGTTGCACTTACTAAGAACTTCGCAAGTATTTAGCAAGTACTTAGCTGAGAATTTAGCTGACACCGCTAAGTACTTAGTTCGCACTTTAAAGTATGTACTAAGTACTTCGCTAAGTACTTATGAACTACTTAGCTATAGCTCGGGTCGGCCCTTAGATGTACTTCGGAGTGTACACTGCAGATGCGTATAAATTTCAAGCTGTCAGTGATCTCAGGAAGCAGGGTTGTACGTTGCATCAACGAGGCAGCACACCGAGCAGCAACAGCTGGCTGAGTGGGGCCAACCTGGGGCCAGCCCGCAGGGAGTCTCACAAGGAGCCTCACTCGTCTGATGGCAGAGGCGACTCATGCGACGCTGTGAAAACATACCGCAAGCTGGAGCAGGAGAATTGGCGGAAGATCTATCCTGAGGCCATGCCGCCTCGGACGCTCCCCTTCCATTATTTTGTGACTGCTGTGTTTGCCGTGCCTGCTGAACTCCTCGCCACCGATGCCAGAAAAACACCTTTCGCGAACGCTCCCTGATGGAGAAAAGCAGAACCTGCCTGCTGGCGGGAGGAATAGGGTTTTAGAAAGCAACCCACGGAAGTTGTTGGTCGTCACATGACGCGCCCAAGGGCGCGCCCAATCGCGCGCCAAGCGAACTTAGTGCATCTCCCTGACATGGCGCTACATGGCGCCATTAGTGGCTATTGGGCGCTGTTTGAACGCTGTTCCGCGCTACTGCGCGCAGTTGGGCGTTATTTGGCAGTGTTGAGCGCTATTGACACTATTGAGCCCTTTTCGCCGAGACACATTCAATCTAAAACGACCGGAAGAGGCCGTAGTTAACTATCTAAGCGATCCTGTGGGTTCACGATTTGGTAACAATGACAATCATGCATCTAACGGGACGCTGTCCAGGAAACTCGCCCCAAGACTGCACCCACGCGGGCCTTCGAATTCTGGAGGCCCATGGGTTCCCTGCAGCTCGGAGCCATGAGAAACCCACAAAGCTGGACGGGTGCCCGACAGGCACCCCCAAGACCCCAAGAGCGGCCCAAAATGAGCCCAGCAGAGGCTCCGAAGTTCCCCAAAAAGTACGAGCTCTGTCGGTGCGCCTGGCTTCCCACGCTCTCCTGCCGAAAGAAAAGAAACATAAAAAATAACGCCTTTGGGACGAGGTCGACCTCGAGGGCTCCCAAGCAGCCCCCGGGAGATGCCCCAGGAGGGCCCCGAGCAGAAGGTGCCCCAAGCTGCCTTCGAAGGACTCCCAAGACTAGCCCGAGAGGCCCGAAGGAGGGGCTTCGGGAGAGGCTCCGACAGAGAGCCCCAACAGAGGCCCTCCTTGTCAGGAATGTTACTCAGCGTGTGGCGGCGGCGGCCCCGGCGACACGCTATGCCCTGCGACGTGTCGCTCTGCTTCGCGGGGCTGGGGGGGCTGGGGCAAGCTCGCAGCGTTGATGCCTGGGGACGGGGACGTGGCTGGCGCGTCGCGCCGAAGAGTGACTGGTGGGTCGCAGCCGACGGCATGACGCTCTACGTCCCTGACCCGATCAGAATCCCCAGGAAAGGTCCCGAACCCTCTAGGCATGTCTTGCGATGTCGCGGCGCATCAGACCCCTCATGCGATACCCAGCCGAGGCAGGCCTCCGAATATTGGCAGAAGCCAGGTCAGGAGGCTGCTTGATTGCTTTGGAGTAGAGGGTCAGGGAAGGACGCCGTCAACGTCGCCGCCGCCGTCGCAGCCATCGCCGTCGTCCCCGTCGCCGCCGTCGCTGTTTTCGCCGTCGTCGTCGTCGTCGCTGTCGTCGTCGTCGTCGACGTCGTCGTCGTCGTCGTCCTCGTCGTCGTCGTCGTCGTCGTCCTCGTCGTCGTCGTCTCCGCCGGCGTCATCGCCGTCGACAGTCCGATGGAAAGCGAGTCACTCCTCAGCCTCCATCCCAGAAGCTCTTCCAAGCTACGTCGAGCCGCGGCGACGAGAACCTCCAGAAAGGCTCCAGCATCTCCAGAACGACGCCACCGCCATCAACGTCAGCGTCAGCGTCGACGCCGTCGTCGGCGTCGACCGAGTCGTCGTCGCCGTCGATGCGAGGCGTGGACTTCTCCATATTTCACCGCCTGGGGCATCGATCTTCCAGGACCTGTCGGCGGCGGATAAATCCCCGCCTCCCATGAGATCCGACGTCACGGACAAAATGCAACATCACGGCAGATCACCACCGGAGCCCGAAACCCTATCTCTCTGCTGCATTTTCCCAGCTGGATCGATCTGTGATGGCCCCAGGGCTCAAAGCCCGGCGAGAACGCCTGGTGTGAAAAAATACGACGCCAAGATCTCAGCGTCCGAGCCGTCATCTCGGGATCTACTGACCCAGGTCAATCCAAACCCCGGTCATTCAGGCATTGAAGGCTCCTGCAAGATCCTGCAGGGTTCTGCACGCTAACCCAGGTCAATGCACACCTGGCTCTGCAGGATGCTGCAAGATCTGGCTCTCTGGCTGACCCCGTTTGCATTGACCCCGTTTGCATTCGTCATCGCCGTCGCCGTCGCCGTCGCCGTCGCCACCGTCGTCGCCGTCGTCGTCGTCGTCGCCGTCGTCGTCGTCGCCATCGTCGTCGTCGGCGCCGTCGCCGCCGCCGAGGTCGTCGAACGTCGTCGTCCCCGTCGGCGCCGCTCCTTGGCGCCAGCCCGCCGGTGACGTCCGCTCGCTGGCAAGGCCCTGGATGTCGACGGGTTCCCACAGGGCGCCCGCGGTCCTAGGGTAGCGACGGGGAGGTCGTTTCCTCCTCGGGCCTCCTCGGGCCTCTTCAGCCCTCCTCCATCCCCTCCTCCGCCTCCTCCTCCTCCTCCGTCTCCTCCTCCTCCTCCTCCACTTCCTTTCCCTCATTGTCTTTCTCCTACTTATCCCCCTCCTCCTCCTCCTCCTCCTCCTCCTCCTCCTCCTCCTCCTCCTCCTCCTCATCATCTCCCTCCTCCTCATCATTCATCTCCTCCTCCTCCTTCTCCTCGGTCCTCCTCCTCTCCCTCCTCCTCGGCCCTCCGCCGCCTCCCCCTTGCGCCTCATCCTTGGTCACTCCTCCTTGCCCCTTGCCTCTGAGGAAGAGGAGGTTTTGACGCTCCAGTGAACCGAGGCTCGAGACAAACGAAGGGGTGAACGCCTGCGAAGCGGGTCCTGTCCAGGAGGGTTGGCGCTGTCCCTGGGACGAGCCTCCGCTGCTCCAGGGGGGGGGGGGGAGAGCATGCTCCATTGTCTGGCCTGCCTCCAAAGATCCAGGCTTGTTCTCCAGGGGTGCGGACAGCCCGGGGCGCGCAACTGAGTTGGGAGCGGGCTGGCTAAGAAGAACATGGAGGGCGGCGCTTCAGAGGGGCGCCACCAGGTGCACGCCGAAGACGAGCACCAGGAGCGTTGGGTGGGGATGCACGACGCCCTAGCAACGGCCCAGGCCCCTACCGTCCACAACTGCCACCACCCAGCGCCAAGCCGGCGGCCGTCTCGATGATGCCTGCGATGCTGTGCGCGTCGGTGCGAGGACAAATGTAAACCCCAGACGCATCAACGATGTTGCAAGAAACCCTCCCTCCAGGTTCCCTCTTCAAATATCCCTGCAAGAATTTGTTGTCATGGCGGACAGTGCCCCATTGGACGACTACTGGTTGAGAATCCCATTCCCAAGATTCCAACGCCGCAAATCAGCACGACTGTTGCGTCCTTACAATCCTAAACCGTACCAAGACACCATTCATGGGAATTCCGCGCCGCGACTCCACGCGGAAGTTGCGTCCCGACAACCCTAAATTCTGCCACATTCCTGGGACTTCAAACCCATAAATCCTTCAAACTGTTGCAACTTTGGAGAAGAATGTGGGCGGCGCTAAAGCGAAAGCCAAATTTTGAAAACCAGCCGCCCTCAATCCTGGAAGCTGTTGCAAACGTTTAGCAGGAACGCGCGCGGCGCTACAGCGAGAGCCACATTGTGAAAACGGCCTGACCTCCATCCTTGAAGCTGTGGCAAACTGTGAACATGATTGTGCGCGGCGATAAAACGATAACCAACTTGTGAAAATCGGCCGCATTCCACCTTTGAGACCGCTGCAAGTTTGTCAAAAGAATGCGCGCGCGGCGCGAAAGCGAGAGCCGCATTTTGAGAATCAGCCGCCCTCCATCGTTGAAACTGCTGCGCCCTTTTAACACGAATGCGCGCAGCGCTGAAGCGGGAGCCAAAACATTTAAAAAACAATTTTCAAAAACATCAAAACAACAAATTAAAACAAAACATAAACAAAAAAAAACAAAAAAAACACAAGAACAAAACAAAAAACACAAAACAACCAAAACAAAACAATTTTAAACAAACATTACAAAAAAAACCACAATAAAAAAAATAAATAAACATAAAACACAAAAAAACCAAAACCTAAACCCAACAACATTTAAACAAAATAAAACAATATAACAACAAAAAAAACAAACAACAAACACAAAAAACAAACAAAAAAACAAAACAACACACAAGACAAAAGCAAAAAACAAAAAAAAAACAATTAAACAACAAAAAAAAACAACAAAAAAAAAACAAATAACATCAACAAAACAAAACAACAAAAAAACAAAAACAACACAACAACAACAAAAAACAACAACACAAAACACAAAACAACACAAAAAAAAACATAAAACAAACAAAAATAAAAAACATACAAAAAACCAACAATTTTGAAAACCAGCCGCCGTCCGACCTTGAATCTGCTGAAAACCATCCAGCTTCAAGGTCGTAAGAAGTCTCAGGCGCCCTACCGACACGCCCGGGATCACGACAGGAAGGAATTGAGTATCAGGGAAAGGGATGGAGGGAGGAAGAGGAGGACAAGAGTAAGTGCAAGATGCATCAACGCTTCCACAGTATACGCTCCCATCACAAATGCCCCCCTCGTACGTCCCATCAACCTTTCGTTGTCACTACAAGAAGGCCCTCGTTGAAAGAACAGCACCCGATAAGCCTGCCATTCAGGCGAGAGCCCCGATTGAAAAAGAAATTCCCTTGCAACGCTCTCGCGGGGCGGCAAGGTATGATCATTTAGTTCAACGAGGTGTCCAGCGAGATCCCCGTTTCGAAAAAGGGCCGCCCTCATCTGTGTCAGTCACTATTCATGCCTGCGCGTCTGACGTGTTCAGTTTCTGGCCCGTACACCTCGTGATATCAAGCGGAAGCCCCCTCTCTTGAAAAGGAACCGACCTCAATCCGCGTAATTGATACAAGTGTTTGAAACGAGTGTGTCCGGCGCTAGAACATAAGCTCAATTATGAATGGGAACCGCCGCCCATCCCTGCAACTGCAGCAGGATTGTGAAACATGGGTGTGCGCGGCGCTACGGCGCGAGCTCCATTCTGAAAACCGCCCGTCCTCCATCCCTGCGACTGTTGCCAGCCTCTTGTGCAAACAACGAGTGCGCCCCGCGCTAGAGCGAGAACCCCAACCCCCCTTCCATCCGCGAAACCGTTGAAGTTTTAGAAAACGACAGTGCACGGCGCTAAAGCAACCGCCCCCGCCCCCCACCCTTGCAACCGATGACAGCCTTTAAGCCGAATGCGCGCAGCGCGGAGGCGAGAGATCTGCAGGACCACGGGGACAGATCGCAAGGAAGTCTCCAGCGAACCGCGAAGCCCCGCTATACCGGCACGTCTGGTGGCGAGACGAGGGCCCCCAGCGGCCGAGAATCAAAAAAAAAGAAAAGACAAAAAAACACTCCCGTTGCGATGTGGTTCACGACTCGATGGGGCTCTGTTAGATACTCGCTCTGGGGACCTCTCGTGCGTCGTCCGTCGACTTGAACGAACCTGAATCGCACTTGAGTCAAACCTGAGCCGAACTCGAGGCTACCCAGAGTCGAACTACACCCCTGCTTAGAGTTGAGACCAGGTTAGGCTAACTCCGAGCGTTCCCTTAGACAGAAGTCCAGGTCCAGATGCACGAGAGAACTACGGGCAAAAAAGGCGCTCCGAGGAAATGCCCAGGCTCCAGCCCAGATCCCTGGTTTTCCAGCACGCATCGGGGTGGAGTCAAACTTGAGCCGACCTCGCCGTCAAACTGGAGTCGAGCCAGGGCCGGGCAGACCCCTCAGGCGGGCCCCAGGGAGGCTCCCACGACGAGCGCCCAAGCTCTTAAGCAGGGGCAGGAGACCCACCCCCCTCACGGGCCGCGCCGCGCCCACGCCCGTGCGCCTCCGACGAAGGCACCCTCAAAGCGCTGGCGCACGAACTCCGGCGCACCGCGCCGCGGTCGGACGCCCTCGGCCCTGGAGTCACCGGACCCTCCGGGGCTCTACGAGAGCAGATCGCTCGCCCGCGAGCTGTCGAGACGGAGACGGTCACACCAGCGGCAGCAGCGGCAGCACAGAGATCATCAGGCGACCCAGCCGGCATCGAGCATCTGAGCTCTGGGGAGGGCGGGCGGCGAGATCTACACAGATCCACCGCCGCTGGCGGGGCCCATCCTGGGCTCAGGAGCGGTGCATGTCCCTCCCGAGGCCAAGCCGGGGGACGCAGACACCGCTCCCGAGGCCTGGGGGAGGGCCTGGCTTTGGCGGCAGTGGACACGTGTAGATCTCGACGCCCTGACCGAGACATGCGACGTCCTGAGTTGTGTTCCCTGCGCGGCCCCCCGAGGTCTTGACCCTTAAGTCGTTGCTCGACGGTGCCGGGGGGCTCGGCGAGGGCCCCCAGAGGCTGAACACGGAGAAAAGCCTCTCCGGTCCTGATCTGTTGTCACGACGCGGCCATGTCTGGGAAGGAAAGTCCCCGGAACGAGCACCTGATGTGGAGGAAAAAAGCGGAGACCGTGACCCAGACTGCGAGGCGGGCATTTATCCAGTTATCCAGTTATCCACCGCCTGGGGACCGCCGCCCTGGTGCCCCAGCGGGCAGTGGGTACGGAATATTTTGGCCCCTGGGGGCCCGAATGTATCCATGTCCACCGCCTGTGGAGGTCCGCGAAGATCGATCCCCAAGGCGGTGGTTAGTTCTGGATGACTTCCCGCCTCGGAAAGACTGAACTCGGAAACATCGTGTCGATCTTGGTCACTGTCGATCTTGGTCAGCGCCACTTCGTGGATCAGCCTCGCGGATCGGCAACTGACGACATGGACCATGACCGAGATCGGCATCGACTAGATCCCGCGACATCTTGGTCATGGTCCCCGTGATTCTTCCCTCGACCTCGTCCCCATTCTGGGGGAACCAACAGGTACCGACACCGCTGCTCCCTGGACCTGACCCAGGGTGCGTTCTGACCAGAACGCCGAGGCGAGTCCAGCGGTGGCGACGAGGGCATCCCACGAGGCCAAGAAAGGGGAAAACTGCGGAAGGGGTAGCAGTATGGGTACCTTCTCCTCCTCTGGTGTCTGGGAAGGAAGGTCCCCAGTCGGGGATCTTCTGACCCGGGTCAATCCAGACCCGGGTCAGCAGGAAACCAAAAACTGCAATGCAGGAAAAAAAAACTGCAACGCAGGTCTTCGCAGACCCGGGTCAGCCAATATGCGCGGCCGCCTCGCGGCCACGAGCGGCTCCCTAACCCGGGTCGGCCAAAGGGGGTCTTCGCAGGATCCTGCAGGATCTGGCGCCCTGGCTGACCCCCGTCTGCATTGACCCGCGTCTCAGGGCTCCCGACCCAGACTGAGCACAGGAGCTCCGGGGACGGGAGCTGAGAGCAGGCACCGACCGTCCCGGCATTCCCCGTCCCGGCATTCCTATAGGGCGGCCTACCACGACACGTCTTCAGAACCAACGAGTGTTCTGGCAACAAAGACAAGGCTCCTAGAACATTCTCTGGCGGGCGAAATGGGCGGAGCGCAGAGGGGGGCAGGGGGAGGGGAAGAGGCTTCTCAGAAGAAGAAGGCGCTGGCCCTGCATCTGTAGACAAGGCCCGCGCCTTCTGAGAAGCGGGGGTGCTTCTAAGAAGCCTTCCCCCCTCCCCCTACCCCCTCTGCTCGTGGCACACACAAGGGGGGAACTCAAACAACCGACGTCGTGATTGTTTCACAACGTCGACCCCCAAAGGTCTTGACCCCTTCCCCAGGACCGGTCATTCATCCTGAATCGTTTTTGCACGGTCCCGAGCCCTTTTCAGGGCTCCCGGAAGCCGAAAATAGCAAAACAACAACAAAAAAAACCTAAGAGAAACCCCAATCAGTGCATGGTTTTCGCTGAGGAGATCGACTGGGAAACCCGGGAGCCCGGGAACCCAAAACCCACCGAAATCGCCCCGGATAAACCAATAACCGGGAACCTGGGAAGAACCCGGAACCAGGAACCTGGGAACCCAGCCTGCTACCAAAATCGGCGGGAAACTTCCGTCAAATCTTTCGACTTCTGCTAGGAGCCACCCCTTCAGTGCAAACACTGATTGGGGGGGGGGGGGAAAGCGAGGGGATCTGCGCGTGGCGGGCCTATGGGCGAGCCAGGACGCTTCGCCACTGCTCGATGGGGGAAGCGGATGCGGGCAAGACTTCTGTCCAGATCCACTGCAGTCCGTCAGGTTCGCGTCGTGTCGACCCCAGCGTTGGTTCCGGACACCGTGGGGATCGTTCAAGCTTGAACGATCGGCCGCTCAGTGAACGCCGGATCGTTCAAGGATGGGCCGATTCTGGGCCACAGGCGGCGTTCAACCTTATACGCCCGCTCTGGGGTCGCCGCTGGTCGACACGACGCGAACCTGCCGTATGGCGTTTCAGGATCCCCTCCCCAGAAACCCGAGGCGCACTGGACATAGACAAATGCGCCCCCTCGAGGCTCGATGTTTATGCGCATCCAGTGCGCCTCGGCCTTGAGGCGCCCCTTCCAAAAAAGTATTGGTGGACCCAGAAGGGGGTCCAGCTGCAAAGGGATGGTGCAATCGGTTCGGGGCAATTTTTTTGCAAATGTATTGCGCCGGAGAGCTGTGTTGCCTTGTATTGCAGCCAACGCATTGCACGCGAAATCCCAGCAGTACATCTGCGCACCGGAATGTATTGCACGCCCCAAATCGATCGCAGCCCCACAATTCTCTTGCACCAGCTCTATTGCACCACCCCCTTGTCGCTGGACCCTTTTTTGGGGTCAACCACAAAGTTCTCGGGCCATAGTCCGGCTCCCCGGCGGCCGCCGTTCGGGGCGATCCCGGAAACCCCCCGAACGCAGTCGGCGAGGCGCAGCTGCCGCAACGCAGCCCGAAGCAGACCGCCAGCCGCAGAAAACGCCGGACGCCCTCGAGCCTCGGACAACGAGCCCCCCGCCGAGGCTCGATAGGCTTGGACTTCAAGCCCAAGACGCACTGGACATGGATACAAATCCTGCCCGCCGTGGACGGCGCAGGGAGGCCCCCCCCCGGGGGGGGAGCGGCGCCGCCCCGCGCCCGGGGCGCGGGCGGTCCGGGCGGCCGGGGCGGCGCCGGAGGGCGGCGTCCCCGGCGGCGCCCCGCCGAGGCCGCCCTGGCGGCGGCTCCAGCTGGAGTGCACCTCGCTGGCAGGAAAGCCCAGACCATTGGACAGTGGACGTTTTTTAAACCGGCGCTTCGACGTGGGGCGGAAGGGGGGGGAGGGAGGAGGGGGAGGGGTCTGGCTCTGGACCTCTGGTTTAGTGCGACTGTTTGGAGCCGTGGGTCCCATGGGGGAGACTCCACCTGCTCGAAGCAGGCGCCAAAAACAACCAAGATCTACTCCACGGGTGGGCGGGGGGGAGGAGGGGTGCGAGGGCCCGCGCCGATCGGCAAAAGGATGAAGAATAAAACGCTCACATACCGTTTTTTGTTCGGTCGCAATCGGTAGCGACTGATCGGCCGTCCAAATCGGTGGCGACCGATCGCGACCGATCCCAGAATCCCAGAATCGGTCGCGGCCGGTCGCCACCGATAGCGACCGATCGGTGGCGGGCGATCGGTCGCGACCGACTTTGAAGCAAATCGGTCGCGACCGATAGCGGAGTTTGCAGCAAAATCGGTAGCGGCCGTTCTCGTCGGTCGCGACTGGAGAATTCCAGTATCCAATGATCAGGGTGGAAGGGGTTCCAGAGGACGAGGACACAGTCAAGACGAGTCCACAAGAAACCCATCGCAAAAAACCCAACCCTGAAGATCGCCAGAGTTTCTTGGGCCAGGGTCAAAGTAACCTGGGTCAGGCGGTTGATTGATGGCGCGCGCAAAGCGTTCCAGCGTCAAGACGCTCGGGATATCCTGCCAGTTGCGGTTTCTACGCGACCGTTGCAAGCCCTCAATGCGAACACAAACCAACGAAACCCAAGGCAAAAAGCGTGGTGTCTCTTGGCATGGGCTCCCACTGTAAGACGAAGCCAGGACGAGGATAAATTCGGGCGAGGATAATTCGAGAATCTCTGAGATCTGGGGATGTCTCGGGAGCCGCGGCCTTCTCAGAGCGCACCCGAACGCTCTGAGAGCGTTCCAGAACGCTCTGGAGCGGATTTATCCTCGCCCCGTCCGAGGAAAGGAAGGGATGTCAGAGGAGGAAAACCCAGATCATGGGATACCGAATTCTGTCGGTCGCGATCGGTAGCGGCCGATCGGCACTCCAAATCGGTGGCGACCGATCGCGACCGATCCCAGAATCGGTCGCGACCGGTCGCCACCGATCGTGACCGATTGGTCGCGACCGATGGGTTGCCACCGATTTTGAAGCAAATCCGTCGCGACCGATAGCGGAGTTTGCAGCAAAATCGGTAGCGACCGTTCTCGTCGGTCGCGACTGCAAAATTCTAGTATCACATGATCGGGGAATGAGAAACAAGAGAACTAGCCCTACCCCCCACACCCCTTAGGAGGGGCCAGAGCATTAGGGATAGGGAGTCGTTGTTTTTTTCTCTGCAGATGTGCCAAGCCAGATCACCCAGATTTACTACCCCTAGTGATACCCATACAGTGAGAACTTTTGATAAGGAATCCGCCGACCCCTTGTGGGTCTCTAGGCGTGTGCAGATAGGCTCCCCCCCTATAGTCCCCCCCCCCGGGACCCCAAACCGGCGATTTGACCCCCCCCCCCCGGGCCCGGGACGAGCGCCTCCCCCGGGCCCGGGACGAGCGCCCCCCACGGGCCCGGGACGAGCGCCCCCCCCGGGCCCGGGACGAGCGCCCCCCCCGGGCCCGGGACGAGCGCCGCCGGGGCTTTTCCGGGCCCCAGGAAGCCTCAAGACGGGCCAAGATGGCCCCAAGAGGCCTTCAAGACGGCCCACGGGAGCCCCGAGACGCCAAACGAGCGCTCCCAGACGCCCAAGATGGCTCAAAGACGGGCTAAGAGGCCTCCAAGACGGCCCAAGAGGTCCCCAAGAGGCCCCAAGAGGCCTCCAAGATGCGTCCCACGAGGGTCCCTAGACGCAAAAATTGGCCCATTCCCTTCGTAAAACGTACATTTTTCACGAATTCGCTTTTTGGGCTTTCCGACGCTCCCAGACGGCCCAAGAGGCCCTAAATACCGCCCCAAGACGGTCCAAGCAGCCTCCAGGGAAGCTCCAAGGCAGCCCAAGAGAGCCCCAAGACAGCCCAAGAGGCGCCCAAGATTGCCCAAGAGGGCCCCGAAGACGGCCCCAAGAGCGCTCCAGGAGCGCTTCAAGTGGCCTCCAAGAGAGCTCAATATGGTCACAGACGGTCGAAGAGCGATCAAAGACACCGACGATCGCCTCCAGACGGCCCAAGACGGCCCCAAGAGGCCCCAAGAGGCCTCCAAGATGCGTCCCAGGAGGGCCCCAAGAGGCCGCCAGAGGCCCCCAAGAGGCCGCCAAGACGCCCCAAGGAGCCCCCAAGAGCCCCCCAGGAGGCCTCCAAAAGACCCCCAGACGCTTCCGCATTGCGAGCCGTCAAGCCAACTGCAATGCACTCCGCGCATGCAGCCTTGCTCTTCCTCGCGACGTGCTCACAATCTTGCTCGGCGCGAATGTGCTGCTGCTACGCGAACTGTTTCGTGCGCGCTGCGAACGTCAACAGCCTCTTCACCCGTTTCGACTCATCTGCCACATCTTTCGCGGTGATGCTTCGCTGATCACAGCAAACATTTGGACCCCCTACGTATCTGCCACCACCCGCGCGCGACACCGCACCCTCACACAAGACGCCGCTGGCCAGAAACTCCTGGTCTCGCAACAGTCACAGAAGGGGTCGGCGGATGTGGCGTAAGCCTGTAGAATCATTAGGTAAGGAACCCGAGGTCTGGAGGACAGTGGAAATCCACTCGTGGGTTGGGCATAGATATCACCGCCGTCCTCATCGGCTAAGGATTCCTCCAAGGTCTAAAGTCTCCCAGGCACATTCCTAAACCAACGCCCCCGCCGTGCGGCCACCCTTGCCTCATGTTCGCATTCTTGGGGGGCCTCCTGGGAGGCCCTTGTCGCCACGGCTGGATTCGCCTCGAAGTCCTGGTCAGGACGCACCCCAGGAGAGGTGCGCGGAGTAGCCGTATCGGAACCATGTGGTTCCCCCAGACTGGGGACGAAGACATGCTCGCGTCGTGAGAAAAAAACCATACCACGGGAAGTTTCTCGCCGTTCTCGGCCTGTGGGGGGCCCTAAGAACGACTCAGGATGATAGAAAGGTCCCGCCGCGCATGGACAAAAATCTAGACTTCGCATGCCTGGGGACGGGCCCTGAAGGAAACGGGTCCTGGACCCAGGACGCTCTCCCCAGGACCAGCCCTTCATCCTGACTCATTCCCTCCTCCCTCCTCCCTCCTCCCTCCCCCTCCTCCTCCTCCTCCGCCTCCTCCTCCTCCTTTCTGACGGTTTTGAAGCCCTGGGAGGGCCCCAAGGAGATTGAAAACCACGGAAAATCTCAGGAAGCCTTTCCCCCAGGACCCGCTTGCTCCACGGCGAGCCTCGGCGGGCTGGGTTGCGGCCTGACGTACCGAGTGCGGGCGCTGCAGCCCTTACTATTGGGCGGCAACTCCTGGGAGGTCCTCGTAGACACGACGAAGGGCTACTGAGCCCGGATATGGGGCCACTAAATTGGGCTTACCCAGATTCAGCCCAGGATTAAACTGGATTTCACAGAATCAGGCAGAATTGCACGGGATTCAGCGGCATTAAACGAGATAAGGCGGGATTTAGCAAGGATAAACTGGATTAAACATGATTTTAGCCAGTGTGGACCCCAAACAACGATGTTTCGCAACTGTTGCGTTGCAATCTCCTTGGGGCAATCAATGCGGTGCAATATAGGTTTAGAAAGTTCCATGTTCGCTAGGGACTGGCTTTCCTGCCAAAACAGCCCAAACCCTCCAGACCCCCCCCGAAAACCCTGCGCAGTAGGCTTGTCGGGAGGGTTTTGGAAGGGTTTTCGTCATTTTTCGGGGGGGTGGGGGGAAACCTCTCCCTAGCGAATCCTCGGCTTCCTAAGCCTAGGTGGTGCCATACATGGGGCGCAATCCATGTGTAGCGCAAAGTTGCCGGGGAGAGCGCAGCGCAGAGCGGTGCAGAGCCATGCGGAACACGCCAAGAGCGGCGCAGCGCAACGCCAAGCAACGCCAAGCAACGCCAAGCAAAGCAGTAAGTCGGGCCTGTCCTCCTACAGGGGGGTCTCGGAGGAAAAATGAAGAATAGCAAAAAATACACCAACATGGTCAAACAATACTAAACAAAAAACATCACCATACTATTTCTTGACTATTTTTGAACCATCCTCCTGTAGAGGGACAGGCCCGACTTAACGCAAAGAGCGGCGCAGCGCAACGCCAAGCAACGCAAAGCAAGGCAATGAAAGGCACTGCAGAGCAAGGCAGAGCGCGGGCCTCGCAGAATCAAAAAAGGTCGTGACCGGGAGCGGCGGCGACGCGGGCGGCGACAGGGGCGGCTGCGAGCCAGCTGGACCGACAGCCAGGCCCTCCTCCTCCTCCTCCTCCTCCTCGAGACCCAAGAATACCCGATGCACCCTGGAGGCAAGCAGGGTGTTTCTTGGCATGGGCCCCCACTGTAGGTGCAAGCGCTGCTTGTCGGCGGGACGTGAAGGGTGGGGTAGGGACAGAGGTGAGGCTGGAGAAAACCGTTCCAGACGGCCCACGGATACAGGAACGTGAGCATCCAAATGGGTTCCTTCCCCGACCACACCTTGGGACAGCCCCCCATCAGCGAACCTCCGAGTCTGGTGAACTAGGCCTGGTGTGCCGAGTGCCAGCGCTGCAACCCTGAGGTTAGGCCTGGTATGCCCCCATACAAACTGATGTTTGACGACAACTTTATATATATATATATATATATATATATATATCGGAGGTTGGGGGGTGAGATCGAAGTGGAACGGAGAGCCCCCCTACCGGGAAATCGGCTTCGGTTTCGTGTTCGTGCGTGCCGTGCGGGCGAGGCGAAGCTGCGTGGGCGGGCGAGAGAAAGTCTCCTGTGGCTGAGGCGCGGCCGGACCGAATGATTCCCTTCCGGGCGGCCGGGGCCCCGCGGTGTCCCGCCGGTGTCCCGCTGGTGTCCCGTGTGGCTGAGGCGCGGCCGGACCAAGTGATTCCCTTCCGGGCGG